CTAGGATACATGATAAAGTTTAGTTACACATATGCGTATTTTATACTACTAATGCTGAGGAATTTTTAAAGTAAATTGCTACCTAAAAACTACAGCTGTAGGTTTTTGAAAAAGTAATAATGTATAGGTCTATGCTTTCTCTAGCTATTATAAATATCAATTTTATATTTGTCTTTCTAATACTGTTCTCAGCAAATAATATAGGAATATAGATAGTGATATTAAATGAACCCCACTTAGCTAATAAGTGATCAAAGTATGAGACCCAAGCTAAGGTCTGGTTCCCTGACTCCGTTCTCCGCAACCCAGTGTTCTACAACTGTACATTAAGAGACTTGGAAATTGGGAACCCAAGTGTCCATTTGCAGTATGTCAAAACAAAAGATGGAAGAATAGTCTGGAAGCTAATATCACTTGTTGAAACATTGTAAATAAAAAGTTCAAAGTGGCTGGGCACTTTCGTTCTGCACATAGTAGTGATTTGGCAATTATGAGAGTATACTCTTTTCAGTGCAACTTTATTAAATTAAACCTATTTCTTGTGACGTTAGTAATAGACAATCAATGGTCTTAGGAAATCAATGAAAGGAATCCAGGTTTGTGCCATGATCCCTCTCTGATCATTGGAAAGTGACCAGATAAACTAGTTTCTGCTGCTGTCAATACACTTCTCTTCCGACAGTTACTGCCTTTAAATAAGTAACTCTTAGGGAAACTTATAATTAATGTCTTAACTAAAGAAAAGAAACCTTAATGATGGTCTTTAGAAAGCACTTCACCTCTTACGTTAAATAAATTTACAGGTAATAATACCTAAGAAAACATTTTTTAAAATAATGTCCTAACTAACATAAAAGATAAATATATATTTTAAATGATTCACAATGAAATAATATTACTTCAATAGATAAATGCTCTGGAATAATTATACTAAAACTAACGTAGAATCGCTGTGAATGTGATACTTATAAATTCAGACTTGGGTATTGTACTGGTGACTCAGATGCTGTCACAATTGGGTTCCCTGGGGAAAAGATTCTGAAGTGGAGATTGGCATGCCAGAAGTTTATGAGCAAATACCTATGGAGCAGAAAGGGAAGGCAGGCTTGGGGAAAGAGAGAAGTTTTACTGAGATGTAGTCACAACAAAGGCCTCAGCCAATCTAATGGGGAGCTCTGGAGCTGGGATTACCCTTTATACCCTGCATCAATGAACAAGTCAGTCGATGTAGGATGCCCCCAGGGAGGGGAGCAAGCTTGGACAAAGTGCTCTCATCAGCCGATGGCAATTCCCAGAGAGGGACTCAGCTGAGAGGTCAGACACCAGTACTGCCAGTGGCTAGGGGATGGGTACATCCCCTCCCAAGGGGAACAGGCCTGAGCAGTGCACCACATCATCTGCTACAGTCCACCTCGTGTGCTGCTTATATCCACTGGCTTTTTACAGCTAGTTCTGGGAGAGGCCCCTCCAGGATTCTGGTACTTCTTTTCCAGAGGAGAATAACACAAAGAAGGTTAAGAACAACATACAGTCCCACTGCTGCAGCTCATCTCCAGGCCACACCTATCTCTCTTCCAGATTCCTGACCAGCACTCCTCAAAACTATCAAGGTCTTTGAAAGCGAGAAAAGCCTGAGAAACTGTCATAGCCAAGAGGAGCTCAAAGGAACGTGATGACTAAATGCAATGTGGTGTCCTGGATGGGATCCTGGAACAAAATAAAAATGCTAGGTAGAAAATAAAGATAGCCACATAAACTACAAGCTTTAGCTAATAATAACGTATCACTATTGGTTCATTAGATATAACAAATGTACAATGATACTAAGGTAAGATGTTAATAATAGGGGAAATTTGGTGTGAGATATACGGGAACTCTGTACTGTCTTTTCAATTTTTCTGTAAATCTAAAGCTATCCTAAAATTAAAAGTTTATTTTTAAAAAATAACAGGAGAAACATTGGGATTGTTGTTAGGTTTAACTTTATGACTTACTTAATAATGGGTTTGACACAACCCAGCTCATGAAATACAGATTTTGCCATGTGGCAGTTTGGTCTTCCATGGTTAGATGCTCCATCTCTACTAAAACCCAGTAGCAAGCCAAAAGTCTGGTTGTTTTTCCCCAAAAACGGTGTGTAATTCTCCCCTGCAAATGGCATGGCCTTGCTCTAGAACCCTGGTGGTCTGTGTTGTCATTCTCCTATTGGGACTTCCATAAATTCCATACGGCATCTTTTCTCATCACCAAGACTTTTAATACCATAGTGCTACAGTTTGGATATATTTGCCCCTCCAAAACTCATGTTGACATTAGATCCCTAATGTGGCAGTGGGGGGGGGGGGGGGCTAGTGAAAGGTGTTTGGGTCATGGAAGCAGATCCTTCATGAACAGATTAATTCCCTTCCTGGGGAGTGAGTGATCTCTCATGAGAATGGATTAGTTCCCACAAGAACAGGTTAATAAAAGCCTGGGACCCTGTCCCCTTCCTCTCTTGCTCCCTCTCTCACTATGTGATCTCCTTGCCCACTATTGGCTGCCCTTCCACTTTCTACCATGAATGGAAGCAGCTTGAGGCTCACACCAGATGCAGTTGTGCCAGAATCATGAGCCAAATAAACCTCTTCTTTTAATTTAAATTACCCAGTTTCAGTTATTCTGTTATGGCAATACAAAAACGGACTAATACACATAGAGTCTGTAGGGTCCTGTGACCCAAGTGGTAGGCCACTTGGTCATAGCCTGGAGAAGTTTTGGAGCCCTTTCCTGCCCTGGACCTCACTTAGAACTGGCAGTTTTTCACGTCATCCAGTTTTATGGGATGCAACAGTATTTTCTGGTGAGAACATGAAAAGGTATACCAAGCATTCTCCTGGTGTCTTAGTTGTATAAGATGCTCAACCTTTCCTTTGGAGGGCATATTCCAGCATGTACCAGACTCCTGGACCCCTAAAATCTTCCATGAAGTGACATCCCTAAGACTTTGTAAGATTTATCTCTCATCCTCTAAAGTGCATCTTTGACAAAGGTCTCCAATGCATTTGCCACTGTACTCACTCATCTGATCTAATGTCATTGATATGGAGAACCAATGTGATATTCTGCAGAATGTTCTGATGGTCCAGGTCATTTTGGACTATATTATAACAGAGGGTGGAAGAATTTACATAGCTCAGGGCCAGCCCGTGGCTCACTTGGGAGAACGTGCTGCTGACAACACCAAGTCAAAGGTTAAGATCCCCTTACTGGTCATCTTTAAAAAAAAAAAAAAAATTTACATAGCACTGTAAATATATATACATATTTATACCCATCATGAATATACTCTTGTCCCATCCCAAGTGAATACAAAGAGTTTCTGATCTACCTTTCTAATAGGTATGGAAAGAACACATTTGTCAGATCAATGGCCACATACCATGTAGCTGAGTCTATATTAATCTATTCTAGCCAAGATCCTTCATCTGGTACAGCAGCTACAATTAGGGTTACTACTTAGTAGAGTTTTTAATAGTCCACTTTTATCCCCTAGTATCTGTCTAGTTATTGTAAGGGTCAGAGTGGTGAATTAAATGGAATTATGACAGGGATCAACACCCATGCATCGTTTAGGTCTTTAAGGGTAGTGCTAATCTCTGCCATCCCCCTTGGGATGAAATACTGATTTTGGTTTACTGTCTTAGCCAGGGGATGGACTAGTTTCAGAGGCATCCACTTGACTTTTCCTTTAAGATAGTTCTTAATCCAGAAATATTGGTTCTCTCAAACCCCAAGTATGTTCAGTCCAATTATTCATTCTGGAAGTGTAGAGACAACCATTGGGTAGACCCATGAATTCAGTAGACCTACTATGAATAAGACCTGTGGGAGAACTCCATTTATTATCTGAGTCCCATATGCCCCCACTCTAAAAGATGAATTATAATGATACTTTTGTCTCTGAGTGTCAGTGTCAACCTGCACCTTGTATCCCATGGTCCTCAGAGTATTTGTGTACTCCCCTTCCCCAGTGTACAGTTATCCCGGTAAATAACCAGGAGGGAATCACTGCCATATACCCTTGCAGTGGTGTCTAATGTCCTTCTTGGAGAATCTAGCCTTTTCTTCAGTCAGCCTTTTCTTGGGTTTGAAAAACAGCCAAGGTCTGGATACTTGGCAAGAGATCATACATAACCTTTTATTAAGGTGGCTGTGCCCTATCTCCTGATCATCACCCTTAAGAGCTTCCGATGGCACAACCTGAGCAATACTCTCATTGTTCACCCACCCACTTTGCCCTTGGAAATGCCACGTTCCATTAACCACCTCCAAATCTCTCTGCAGGTATCCTTCACACCTGGCCACTCGTTATGATGGCTGTATCCACTTTGTTTCTGACAGTGAAGGGCTGCCACAGGGCCTGTCTTCTGCATCCATTGCTATCATGAGCCAACTTCTGTCACAGCACCTGGCCTGCAGAGCTACCACTGGGTCTCTCAGAGATACGGATGCCCCTCACCAATGCATTTATTATCACTTCGGTAAATGTGTCCTCTGTTGCTTCCTGGGCATCTCCCACCCTTAAGAAAACTAACATTTTTTTGATTTGTTCAGTAATATCCATGAAATAGGAAATCAGCTGTTTGATCTGCTAAAGGGTTTTCTCCCTGGTGCACATTAAAATAAATAACTATTAATATAAAAACTTCCATCCACCACCTGAAGTCATCCTGCATACCCAGATGAACCTCTGGGAAGTACTAATGTAGCCAACAAGGAGATGATTAAAAGTAAGAAAACCCTCGAGCCCCCTACATATCCATGGCTCCCAGTCTTGCTGAGCACATTGTGACTTCTGAATGGTCACTTCACAGTCCCACCCTTTGACCGGCTTTAGGATGATGGGAGATCCTTAAACTGACCCATCTCTCAGCTTCTCCCCCTTTAGTTTACAGGGATTATGGATAGAATACCTGTTTTTTCATGTTTGCCAGAAATGTAACACACGTTCAACTTAAAAGTAAATACAGAAGGCTTTTATTCCTTGGAAGAAAAATTTCCTGCATAATTCCATGTCTTTTAATAATCACAGAGATAACGTTATCCTTATTCATTACCAAAAATAAAGACTATGGTAACAATTTATACTCCATAGATGCAAACAATATCATCTATTCTGACATCAAAAAAGGCATAAAAACAAAACACAAATTCTGAGTAAGAAATCAAAACAATACAACGTTGAAGAGTTTTTTGTTTGTTTTATTGTTCATTTCACTGCCTGTATGTTTATCTTCCAAGAGCACATAGAAATAAGGAAAAATATCTGCAGGCTAATTTTAAACAACATGAGACAGGGAGTAAGCACTAAATATAAAAAATAAAACTTTCAGCCTACTTATTAAAGTAGGAAGAATTTTCCTGAAACATGTCAGTTAAATTGGTCTGCAATGCATTAATAAACGAAGAACACATATCTCCTCTAGGACGTATTTTAAACATTGTGTACATTACTGAAAAGCTAATCAGGATATGAAAATTTTCAAGTCACAATCCCCTGGACAGACTAGATACAAGTTAGTTTTTAACTTGAAGTCAGAGTGCAAAATCTGTAAAAAATAAAAATATTGCCATTGTTATCAGCAATCTACTGATAAATCCCACAAGTCCTTAAAGTCTTTTCAATAAAATAAACCACGATCTTGGGGCAAGCTCTTTGCTTACATGGCAACTAACTTTTGAAGCCAGATTCCTCAATTTGTGGACAGAAGCAAGCTGCACGGGCAGCATTGCTGTGTTTTTAAAACTGTCCTCGAATGGAAGAAAGTCCTGAATGATCTTCTTCACTGCAACACTGCCTGCACAGCTGGAAGTCTGCATGAGAGATCCCTGGGCATCAGCTGATGAAGCCGGAAACAGATTTAAGACAAGAGAAGGAAGGAGAGGTCAATCGTTTCAATTTACAGATGCCATTTTTTCTGCCACCCGAAAAAATGACAAGGGCTTTTGGACTAGAAATGGACAACATGCAAAAATGAGGTAACCAGATATCAATAATATTGAGAATTTAAGATTCATGTACCCCAAAGGAAGACAGAACTTTTTACACAAAGCTGCAGAAAGTTCTGCTTCAGGTGATTTTATTTGGAGCTCACTTGAGAGCAGCAGTCCTAGACATACCTATTATGTGTTACATCTATTCTTCTGAATAATCATCACCGATACTCAGAAGGATGCCCCTGACATCCTCCGAGGTCCTGCAGGTTCTTCCAAATCAAAAAGAGGTCACGTAATGCCTAATATTATTTGGGGGTTAGCCTATATTTAATAATAATTATTTTTAAATGGGTAATCCATTTCGGGGCTCAATGATAACTCTCTCTATTAACCATTGTTTTATTAACTAAACCATCCAACTCTCCCAATAGGGTTAGCGATTGGAGCTTATTGTACAATCAAAACCAGAATTGGGACAATGGGCTCTTGGAATTTAATCACCTAGATGAACTATCCCACTGACCATCTTTTTAACTTTTTTTCTAGATATGAGATCACTAGGGTGTTTCAGTGTAACTTGAACATTTCATAGAGTAAGGTCCTCATGAAGACCTTAATTTTGTAGGAGTCAGAATCATTTTTCACTTAGCAAGCCCTCTCTTCTTCTTGCTCCCTCTCTTCTACACGCAACTGTCCAACTTTGGTTGGCTGTGGAGTCCCAATGGAAGAATTCTGGTTCTGCCTCGCAGCCTCTCCTCTATGGACTTGGATATGGAAGGTAGTGTGGTTCTTTGTGGCCATCTGCCAGGCATGGGACACCAGGCTTCTTGGGATAGGTTTGACTAGCAATTTTAAAGAACTCTTCTGCAGCATCAAGAGCAATGAGACGGTCCTGCCAAAAAAAATTTCAAAAGTTGCTAAGTTGGAAACCAATCCAAGTAGATGGGAAAATCAAAATCAATGTAACAACAACAAATCCACCCTAGAAATAATAATGAGTAAAACATTTATTAAATTTTTCTCAACAAATTTAGAGATATGTCTTAATCTTTTACTTACATTATCTAAAAAACATTCTACCACTTTTGGACGGCTTTCAAATTACTTTTCAATCTTGGTTTATAAACAATATTTCTTATAGCTCTTTGACCTACAAATGGTTCAAAAAGCTGACTGCACAGCAGAATCAGCTGAAAACTACAGACTCTTGAGCCATAAACCAAGCCTCAGTAGGTTTAGGCATGATCCAGAAATCTGAATCTTTAAAGCTCTTCAGGTGATTCTGACGCTGTTGGCCGCTGGAAGCCAGTGCCTATAATGACAGCATCTGCTACCTCCTCCTGCTGTGGTGTTGGAATGAGGAGTATATGGAATAATAGAAAAGGCAAAACAACTGAAGGAAAATTAGGGCAGATGAAGAAAAGTGTCCACTTACCACAACAAAGAGATATCTCTCTGAGAGCTCCCAACTTGTTGGAAAAATATTGGTCTCTTCAGCAAGTTTTAACAACATCTCTCGAGCTTTCCTTGTGTTTTTAGAATCACTGATGGTGCTGAGTTTAGTCACTGACAACAAAGAGTCCGCTTCCTTTTGAAAACCTAAGGTATAAAAATTTACCTGTCATGTAAAGTAGTCATAAGTTAATGACCGTCCTGCAGTATGGTCCCTGCAGGAGATTAAGAAGGGACCCAAATGCAGATTCTGTACAAACCTCAGAAAACTGGAGCCAAAGGCCCTACTGCGTGTACTGCTTTCCAGCTCAGTGTGATGGGCGGGGTCTTTAACTAAAATTCCTTGGATGTTTCCTCTTACTGATTGTCTTTGTTGACTTTCCTTCAGAGCATCAGATAGTGGCTGACTGCTTGCTGCCCTTTTTTTGGTTTGCAACCCTCCATACTGTCCTCCCTACTCTTTGCCTTCTCCCCTGTCCCCAGAATTCCTCCTACCTGCCCCGCAGCCTGCAAAGGGGTCACCTGCAGGCCCTACTTATCCAAGCCCAGGTTTCCCTCCTCAGGCAATATGGTTGACTGGTGAAAATTACTTACCCAAAGGTATGAAAGACTCAAAGACTTAAACTTGCTGGGAATAATTTACATTGTAAAAAGGAGACTATTAACTCACAACAATATTGGGTGAATAAATAGGCCCCATCACATCCCACGGTATCCCAACTAAAGCAACAGGGGCTAGCAAGGTAGCACCCCACCTTTTAAACAGTTATGATGCCAGGGTATCATATTATCTTAAAGCAGAAATATCAAGGACTTCAAAATTGATAAATTAGTACATAGTAGTTTTAATTAAAACAAGCTTACTTTATGATGTGGGGGCCATTTTTATTGCATCATGATTCTTGTGGAATTAAGAAAAACCATTACCCAATAATGCCACAATGTATTTTTCTGAACTTTGAAGCTTTTCTTTCTTTTACTTCTTCTGAAAATCTACACTGAGTTTTGTTATCTCTCTTACAAACAACATCTCTCCTAACCTGCCTCTTCTTATAAAACTATTGCTAATTGGTTAATCACTCCCATCTAATTCAATCAATGTACGATGCCAAAAAAGTAAATGGTGGTGCCCATCTGACTCCACTGCCCTGTGCTACCCTATACTGGGGACAGATGGAGTGACACATGGCAGAGTGTGTCCTCAAGACAGGGGCTGGCAACAACAGAAACATCAGATGTCTATGCTTGAGGACACAAGAGCAGGACTGGGAAAATAATTAGTACACAGTGGCTTTAATTAATCCATTACTGACATTCATTATATAAAAACCAGGATGGAGAAAGTGAAAAGTGGTGATCACACTGGTTATTTTTACCATGTCATAATCTCTTCCAGACTCACCTAAATCTTCTAAAATGTGTTTCCATCTGTTTCTTACTTCCCTTCGAATCTGCCGCAGAGTATAGATATCATAGTTGAGTTTTTGCCACTCCTGTAGGAAAATAAAAATTCGGTTTTATTTAAATCCTTTGGCCTAAATCTCTATCGCATTCCTGAACTTCATGTTGATTAAACATGTGGCTCTCTGCTTCACTAATCTTCAAAGCATGCCTGAAAGAAGAAAAGGGGTGGACGAAATGGAGTCGACAGGAATACCATCAGCTACCATTTCTGGAGAATCTGCTCTGTACCCGGTGATACGGCACTTATGTAAACTATCTTCCTTCAACTCTTCAATTACCTACTCTCTCAGCTTCAGTAATCTAACCTGTGTAGCGGGGTTGACAACAGTAAATATTCCATTTAAAATTGTTATAAAGATTGGAGGTATACACAAGCACAATAGCTGCGCATAGTGAATACAAAAAAAAAAAAAGAAGCATATTATTAGAGCAGTTTTATAAATGAAGAAACTGAGGCCCAAAGAGCTTAATCGACTAATCCAATATCATCCACTAGTAGGCGTCATCATTGGTATCTGATGACAAAAGCGAGGAGCTCTTCCAGGGATCCCCAGGCTGTGGGTCACTGGGTAGCCCAGAGGTTTCTGCTGTCCCCAGATGTCCCCTCCAGAAGTCAAGTCTCCTCACCTCCTAGCAGCCACTTGTAAATTGAGGCTCCCTGCATATTTCCAGTATTTTCCTAATCTCATTAAGGAAGAACCAGCCTGAGTAAGAGAGTTGGGACATCATAACAGTGATGATACAAAGATGATAATAATAATAAGAAGAAGAATTGGTATTTGAACTCAAGTCTGGCTCGAAAGTTCATGAGAAAACTGACACACAAAGCATCTGTGTCTCACTTTGTTATCAGAATAAAGTAGACCTGGAAAACCTGAGTTTCTTGATTCTTAGCCAATGTTTCCTTCATCATATCTCAGCACTGCTCTTTTTAATTTACATTCCCTTGATAGGATGAATCTATCAAGAATTCAGCAGAACTATTAAAAGAATATCTGGGAAAGTTCCTTATCAGTCTTAAGTGAAATAGGCCATCAGATTGGTCCCAATACAGAACTTGAATCTTCAAGGAGTGTTACAATCTTCATTGAATTAAGCATTCCTTTAAAATGTCATGGAAATTTGCTTTTAAGGAGGCTTATCAATACAGAACAATCATTTTATAGAGTATATCTTTTCCTCTTTCTAAGCAAAGACATTAACCCCACAACTATCCTAATGCACTACTTCAAAGAACATCATTCTAAATGCTCAATTTAAGACTCAATTTGTATGAGATTTTGACTCCTCTAAGTGAAAATGTTTCAGTGATGTTAATACTATTTCCTTACTACGTTCCTTTCAAGGCTTGCTTTGCTCATTGCTAATCAACTCATGATTGGTTAAGAAACACCAATTTAGCTGCCATTCACAAATGTTCATAGATATCACTTTGAAAAAGGAAAGCTGGCAAAATAAAGTGTGTTTTGTAATGACTGCATTTTAGATCTTGTATCTGGGGATAAGTCATCAAAAAGGCATAGGCTTTCAGCTATTTCCTAGCAGTCAGGAGTGGCAAATTTGAGTACTCTTTCCTGGTCCTCTTTTTTTGACCAAAGGCATGTAAGTATGTGTGTGCAAAGTATGTGGTAACTGGGGTTGGGGACTAAGTCTGTGACTTTGGAAGAGAACAAACTAAGCCATCTCAAAAATATGCAACTTTGGCCTCATCTTTAGTAGCATCCTAAAGGAAAAAACTCAAGTATTGTCATTTTCATTGGATGGGCCTCATTGTACTTAGTTGTCCATTCGGTATAGCATATTGGAAAAAGACCATGGGTACCAAAAGCCAGATAGGGGTTTGGATCCCAGCTCCACTATTTATTTATTAACAGCCTGACTTGGGGAAAGTTCTTAACCACACTGTGACTCAATTGCTTCATCTGGAATACAGGGATAATAATACTGCCTACACTTCATTGGCTTACTGTGGGGATAAAATGAGTTAATACAAGCCCTTAAAATGGAGGTAGATGGACATCCTCCCCTTAATCAGTGTAGACGCAAGTAAGAAATAATCCTCTGGGCCGGCCTGGTGGCGCACTGGATAAGTGCGCCGCTTGGGAAGCGCGGCGTCCCGCCCGAGGGTTCGGATCCCATATACAGACCGGTTCCCGCTCACTGGCTGAGTGAGGCGCGGGAGCAGCACCAAGGGTTGCAATCCTGTTGCCGGTCCCTAGTCCGGTACGGGGGCAACACTGAGGGTTGCGATCCGTTGCCTGCCTACACTTCATTGGCTTACTGTGGGGATAAAATGAGTTAATACAAGCCCTTAAAATGGAGGTAGATGGACATCCTCCCCTTAATCAGTGTAGACGCAAGTAAGAAATAATCCTCTGGGCCGGCCTGGTGGCGCACTGGATAAGTGCGCCGCTTGGGAAGCGCGGCGTCCCGCCCGAGGGTTCGGATCCCATATACAGACCGGTTCCCGCTCACTGGCTGAGTGAGGCGCGGGAGCAGCACCAAGGGTTGCAATCCTGTTGCCGGTCCCTAGTCCGGTACGGGGGCAACACTGAGGGTTGCGATCCATTGCCGGACACGGAAAAAGACAAAAAGACAAAAAAAAAAAAAAAAAAAGAAATAATCCTCTAAGACTCGGAATTATTTCTACTATGTGGCTGGAAGACCTTCTACATTACATTATATAGTATCCCATTTATGAGGACCTCCAGAAGAAAATGTTTTCTGCTCTCAACCTCAGGTACAGTTTTACTTTTCCTAACACTGCTTCATCTTTCTGGACTGTGAATTTCATAACTGATCAGCTTCCATTCTTACCTGAACACCTAGAGTTCCTACATGGGAAATATATAAGATTTAGTAAGTATTTTAGAATTCTGCCATTTTGGCTACTTTTTATGTCTTTATTCATCTATTTTTCCTCTTTTGTTCTCATCATCTTCTGCTTTGTGCTCTCTCATTGTACTTTCATGTAAGTTGCCTTAAATCCTTTTTGATAAGAAGACTATAAATAAACAAAATGTTAAACAGAGCCACTCTATGCTTATCCGCAATGAAACTAGTCCTGCTTTCCGGACTTAATGAAAGGCAGTCAGACCCTGCCTGGATCACACTTGAGTCTAGAGACCCACACAACCCAGCTGCAGAGAAGATGCTCATAAGTTCACACAGCCTTAACTTATGTAACAAACCACTAGGTGGCTTCATTAGCTTGCGATTAAAGGTCTCAATGTTTATTTATTTTTAATTAAAAAAATTTTTTATTCAAAATATTTTAACACTTACTTGCACATATTTGCGGCCCATGGCGTATTGTTTCAATACTAACAATTTTTCTTTTAGCTCCATAGCCTAATGCCTCAGACTTTGTTCTCTCTAAGTGTAGCCAAATCTTTATTATTCTGAGACCCATTCATCATTGGGTCATCCAGGCTTCAGACTTTTTTGTTAAACTTTCCCTTCCTGCTGTCCATCTAGCAGTCATTTTGCTGTTCCTAAATATCACCACTGAACGTTATAGAAGCTCATTCAGTTTCAGTGTCTGTTACTCTAATAAAGCATTTGATGGATAAGAAACAAACACATAACTAGTAATCAATATGAGATTTAAAAATCTGCTAAGGATGGGTCCATACCTGGTATATCTTTGGATCTACCCCTCCCTCCTGCTGTGGCGAATGGACTAACTAGCACATGATAGGTGCTTGTTAAGGTTAGTGGAATGAAACTATGTGTCTCAGACATTCATGCTATTACTGTCTTGTTCAGACAGAATAGTCATGGATAATCATACATGAAAGCATCAGGAAGTTTTGTGCAAAATTGAAATCTCTAAAACCAATAGAAGCTTGGGTAGGATTTTAATTAAGAACTGGCATTTGATAAAGTAAATGGTAAGAAAGGAATCTGAACTCCTCTTAAACGTATGACCCCAAAGAATAGAATCTAAGTGCAGTGAATGAGAAATAGTGATGTACAAAATCTTATCGAATTATGTTTCTCCACAGCTAAAGAAACTAACTTACCTACTCCCTGGTATTAGAGAACAGCAAGTCTTTTGACATCCTTCTACAATTTTTAAATTGCAATGATTTAAACTGGAGACAAATAATTTGAAAACGATAGTTAAGGATCAGTCAAATATTCTTCACATGTCACTTCAATTCAGTTCTACTGGACATCAGAAGTTGAGGTCTAATTTTCTAAAATAATCTTTTGTTTGTTTTCCCATGATTTTTGAAATAATATATTGTGGTCAATGCGGTACTGTGTCCCTAAACTTTAACAATGAGTAAATTAACAAAGGTGTAGCAAATAATACAGAAGAAATAATACAGAGTTAATTTTATAAGACACCTGGGAACCAACTCAAATTGAAAACCGTGATTGAAAATGAATAACTGAAGATATTTACAGCTGAATTCCTGAGGGTTTTCTCCACTCCAGTTGTTGGCCAAATCGGATTAGGGCTGCTAGATAAGAGAGTTGAAGCAACAACATGAAAGACAGAAAACATTCCACCTCCTGCCACCATCAGCAGCTAGTTCTCTAGCTTTTGGTCCCCATGAGCTGGCCTTGACCTTGAGCCCTGATTTAAGCTCCTCAGATCACCTTCTCATGCACAAAATTGAAACAACATCTGATTCCTCAACCAACATCTCCCCTTTCCTCAACTCCCCAGTCCCTGGTAATCACTATGTTACTGTCTGCCTCTATGAGTTTGACTCTTTTTTGATTCCACATATAAGTGAGAACATGCAGTGTTTTTCTTTCTGAGCCTGGCTTATTTCATTAGCATAATGTCATCCAGGTTCATTCATGTTGTTGCAAGTGACAAGATTTCCTTCTTTTTTGTGGCTGAATAATATTCCACTGTGTGTATATCTGTGTGTGTATCACATTTTTCTAATCCATTCATTTATCGATAGACATTTAGGTTGTTTCCACATCTTGGCTATTGTAAATAATGTTGCAACGAACATGGGAGTGCACATATACAAAATAATATTGTATTGTTTACTTGAAATTT